TCAGGTATCTTGTGAAGTGGCGGGCATATTCCGACCCCGAAAACTCATGGGAGTTTGAGGCGTCACTTCGGAAAGATTGCTCAGTCGCCGTGGACGCTTTTGATCGGAAAGATCAGGACGTCCCGCGTTATCAGACGTCCCGCGCTTCCCGGCAATAGCCAGGGAAGTAGAAGGGCGACGAGCTGAGCTCAAGCAGTGACCTTGAGCTCTTGCGGTCGAAGACACAGAGCTCGCAGGAGCATTAGGGGTTGTGAAGTCATACGTCGCAGAGCGACAATCCGAAGGAAGTCGACGGCTTGTTTTAGGTTTGGCAAACTCAAAGCGGAGGTGTCGCTCCACACGCACGTCCACTTCCTTGTGGCTCAACTGCAGGTTATGCAGTGAGGAAAGTTTTCGGTACCGTTGCACCCATCGCTCAAAGAGCGCTTCGTCATCTGTAGTGCTTTCCCAGGGGCGAGCACTACAGGTATTGTCCGCATTGCGGGTACACAAGATCCATCTCGTTGAGCACTTAGACGAGTGCAATAAACGTTTGCCGAAATCTCTTGTGGGGTCAAGAAACGAGCTCGAAGACCTTTTCATGTGGCAAGTGCATTATCCGTTCTGGTCGGGGGCTCGTTGATGTGGACGCGTAACGATCGAGTTACCGCGTCCTTCGCTTCCAAAGCGGGATCCGCAGGGAGAAAGCCATATTCCACACGAGGGTCAATGACCGACCGTGAATGGGCGCGCTTTAGAGCCGCCTTATGGGCAGCTTCAAGCTGCCGCCTCTGTTTCCCGTCGTGGTCATTGGTTATTACACCACGTTCCTCAGCTGATAAGAAGTCATGGAGCGGGCATGGGGTCCGCAAGGGGCGAGCAGGGCTCGTATCACGCTGCTGGTGCAGCTCGCCTTCCTCGTCATCCCTCCGGGAAAAAGAGGTGTCAAACTCATAGTCGACCACATCTTCAACGAGGCCACTCGGCACTGAAAGCGTGCGCGGAGTGCGACGTTTGTGCTCTTCGAGCCTAGGGTATACATCCCTCGGTGCTTCGGACGCACTGTCCGACGCTGCACCGAGTGTGGGAGATGAAGTTGGGCTCTGCGTATGCTCGCCGTCAGAACCGGCGAGACTTGGAGATTTTGGTGTCATTGACACAGGGCTCATTGAGCAAGGAAGTTGTTTGTTCCAACAAATTGAGTTGCAGTGTCTAACGGACACGCGAGCCTCGTTGAGGCATAAATCGATTGGAACTGTAAATGTTCTCAATCTTAATGGGGGGGGATTAACGGAATTACACGAACCCTGATAACAGGAGTGTGTGTCGCACGAGATGTGCATGGTGTGACCACACCCAAACAAGAATACGGTACGGGGTTATCTCGGTAGTACACGCATGGTGGGTCTCTCGTCATTATATCGTGATATCGCTTGGACTGAAGAAAATGAACGATCCGTAGAATCCTTGTGGGTAGATGTCAAACTATTTGGACTCACTGCGCTACGATTGTCTTCAACATGACGGATTCAGAGCTCAGCTTCTTCCCTGGTGCCAGCCGTAACGCTTTTGTGATCCAACCGTCTGAATGTTGTGTGCATATCCCAAAGAATGATCCCTTTTGCTCTATATAAACTTCTGCCGTAAGGAGTGAGGGAGCTGACGAATCCAATGAATACTCCCGTCACTTCATTCAGGGAATAATTTTATGGTCTTTGTGTAGCGAAATGTCCGAAATGTGGTACCAAGTCTTTTCTTCACTAGAATTCACTGCTCCGCACGGTAGGTCCCGTACCGAAGCAGCAGCTCAGTCACTTCGTGAAAAGTCCTCGTCAACGTCATATATTGGCGCTTCTACTCGCGATTTACAGTCACCTTTTGTTTCCAACTCTGTCGCTTCTACCCTCCATCGGCATTGCTAAAGGAGATAACAACTCACAGCTGGTCTTTACCATCCGGCCAAATACAATTCGATAGCCACAAATGTCAGTCGTCCTTTCTCATTTTAGCAGAAATTCAGTCTACAAACCACGACATGTAATCGCTTTTCGTCACATCCTAAGACCAAGATTTTGCTGCCACGTCTGCCTTTTGATCTTTGCTTAAGGCACCTGGCGAAGTCATGTGAATTGAATAGCAATGGCGAAGCCATTGCTATTCAATTTTAAACAGACTAATGTAATGCGCGGATGCTATCACAGGGTGCAAACGTCGGAGTTTACACCCTATCAACTAATCAAACTTGTTCCACCCAACCTTACAAGTAATAAGATGTGTCTGATCCGTTGGCTATACGTATCACACAATCAGTAAACGACGTCACCATCGTAATATTTGACAGCTCAAGAGAGATGCGAAAACGCATTCACTAACCCAGCTCATACCTGACCTCAAGGTATGCTAAATGGTGACGACGTACGGGTATGTGTAGTTTGTACGTATATGCGCCTGTTGTAAAGTGTAGTGTTTTCAAATTGTGTATATATGCTTATGTTTTCTGCCTTACCATATAGTCTAGAAATTAAGGATAGATAAATTTCATAAATCAGACCTGAGATCGATCAATCCCTGGTGTGCTAACATCATGTTTTGTCTCACATTTTTGCACAACCTTGTTTTTGTATTTAGATGCCGTCTGAAATGTGATTAATTTGGGATTCATCGATATTCGTCATTCTATGCATGATGAAAATAAGGTCCATGTTTGGTGTAAGTCGTTCGTAGGTATATGTGCTTTGTCTGCTATTCGATTTTGTCTTGGCGATAAGCAGTTGTTGAATACTATTTCACCTGCTCGGCCACACTTCGTACCAAAATCAACGATCAAACTTATAGAAATTGTGTGTCACGCGCCCATCACATCACGATGCTATAGCTGAAAATCAGGAAGCGCAAAAACAATAAGCAGGCATCAGAGGCAGACGAAAGAGCACATATGAGTTCGTTGTTGGGGCAACGCTTCCTCATAGTACAATTAATCAACTACACACCATCATCTATACTAAACCAGTCTCGCTGGTATTAGATTCCTTGCGGCCGTAGCATAAACTGATCGAGTTAACCTTCAAATATTCCAAAGGGAATGTGTTTTGACGGGATTACTAAAGTCGAACCACATCCCCACTCGAATGTGCCATATGTCGAAGACGAATTAAAGTCACAGCTATTCTTGTAGTTGGTCAACCTTATGCTGTCGTTATGGACCGATTGGGGCATCTCACGCAATCAGACCTATTGTGGAGCTCAGTGAGCGCATCCAAATGATGACTCAAACTAGTATTGGACACTCACTTCGAGAGTCAACGTGCCGCTATATCCTACTTCGATAACTAAGAGAGAGATCAGTTCGATTGAGAGCGGAAAGTGGACCGGCAGGCTCGCCAGAGCTGCTTGTTAGTAAAAGAGACAAAATCACTTCGAGAACTTGTGGGAGTAGTCTTCGGCAAGATTTTCCTAGAACCTCGCACTGCGCAACACGCTCTTCACTTGCATATGATGATCGGCTTATGATCCAATTTCATATTTCGTAGGTACAAGAAGGCTTTCTGGAGATATGAACATCTTGGTGTCAATTTTGTGCATTCACCACGCAAAGCCAAGCTTCCAACAGTGTGTCAGGTGGACAATTGCTTTGCGAACGCTGACTCGTAATGTCGTAAACGGGTGAAGCGATGTACCTTCTTGACGCTATGCGAGAATTGATTGAAGTCCTTCTTGACACTTTTTTCCGTGCAAAGTACCGAACGTAGAATAATACAACTCTAAGAACTTAATTGGCAGAGGCACTAGGTTCGGACTCTGAGAGTCACAGAAAAAAATTATCAAAGAACACCCGGCTTCCTTACCGATTATTGCCTGAAAGTCTTATGCCGCTGTGGCCATATCTTTCTCGTTAGCTTGCTAAGCCATGCGTGATAAATCGCAAGTACGGAAATGCAATCTTGGTGCGGTCAATGCTGTGCAAGGAATGATACAAATTTCCGGTGCAGTAGTTGCTGGTGGGATTTTATTATTATTGGTTGGCCCGGCAAGCTATGTACCCGTTGGCTACTGAGCAACGTCTTGATTTACGCGAGAGCGAAGCATGAGGAATTATCATACATCTACGCCCTACCTGTACCGATCGATATCTTACGCAAACAACCGACCGAACAGATAGTATAAATACAATGTGCGTCCATTGAGAAAGAGTACCAAACTATAATTATATAAAGTGAACGAATAAAAAAGTACGTCATAGCTGTCATGTTGGAACTACTATTATCGTGCATTGACATGTGCACTACCGCAAGGTTAAAATGATGGTTGCATCTTTAAATCTATTACAGATAGTACTTCGTAGCTATTTCATCTACCGTACTTCACAAAAAAAAATCTGACCTACTTTTGAAAGGTGATTTTGTTAATATTAAAAGTGGTCAAAAATGAACCGAAATTGTGATTATTTTGTTAAGTTTTTAGGGCACCTTTTC